CCCGTTTCTCCTTCCGTCGCCCTCCGCGGCTTTTCCTGGGCTCCCCTCCCTTCCCCCCTCCTTCCCCCCTTTCTTTCCTGCCAAGGGGGCAGAATCCCAACCCTAACCCTTCTGCTAACTGTCCCAACAAGAGGGCGGGATGGGCGGTTGGTTTTTCTTCTCGGGACGACTTGGCCAAGGGGCGCCCTCTCTGCTCAGGGCCCCGGGAAAAGGGCCGCGTGGGAGAGATTTCGCTTCTTCTTCCCCTGCCTACCTGGGCAAAGAGGGAACAAGAGACCCTGGCGTGGGGGTGGCAGTAACACGGGGTGGGGGGCGCACGTCCTCGCCTCTTCTCGGGCCCTGTAAAGAGAACTGGATTTGGGAGATAACTTTGGTCCAGGTGTGCAAACCCAGAGAGTTAGTTCACCACCTGAACTATATTCGGTTTCGAGTTTATTGGCTCATATCAGTAACTCAGTAAGGAAACCGGAGAACACCGTTTCGTTTCATACAGAAGGATCCCTGGGAGTCGCTCCGCGGCCCGAACGTATCTTCCCAGCCACCCTTAAAAGGGTAGAAAGGAGCGACTTTAAAGTCTACCTGGCCAACCTCCCCCCCTCCCCCCCGCCGCCGTCCCCATCACTGAGCTGTAATTTTAAGCAACTAAATCCCCAGGCCCGGTCTTCTTCTGCGGTTGCTGTGCTGGAGAAACGGAAGGGAGAAGGGGAATCTGAGCAAATCAGAATTGGGGTCCTCTGGAATAAAGGGGGGGGGGGTAGCTTTCTGTGCCCTACAGGAGGACCATTTAACGGGAGGTGAGGGTGGGTGGGAATCCTTCATGGGATAATATCTGTATTAACAACAGTAGCAAAGATATTAGATGGAAGCTGTTAAGGCAGGTAGGACGGCAAAGCAAAGTGCCAAATTTGGAAAAACTGTTTTCTCTTCTTCGACAGATGGCTTTTGATTTACTGGGACTTCTTTTTACTTCCTTATTCCCAGGTTTGTTTGTTTGTTTGTTTGTTTGTTTGCTTGCTTGCTTGCTTGCTTCCTTCCTTCCTTCCTTCCTTCCTTCCTTCCTTGTTTCTCACCTTCCTTCCTTCCTTCTCTCCTTCCTTCTTCCCTTCTTTCTCTCCCTTCCTTCCTTCCTTCCTTCCTTCCTTCCTTCCTTCCTTCCTTCCTTCCTTCCTTCCTTCCTTCCTTCCTTCCCTCCATTTCATCAAACGAACGCATTCGCATTCCAGTGCAGGCCCGCCAGCGGGAGAACGAGCGAGCGAGGACCCAGCCGGCATGCCCGTTGCCATAAATCAAAAGAGAAATTGCGCTGATGGTGTATTTAGCAAATGAAGAAAGTTGGAGGTGATCTTTGCTAAACAGCTTGGCTGTTGATTGCCAGAGGCCGGCGCAATTGAGCCGGCAAGAGAAGAGGGGGGCGGGAGAGAGAAGGGGGAGAGAAGGGGGGAGACAGAGAGAGAGAGAGAAAGGGAGAGCTGCTTGGGTTTGGCCAGCCGCAGCTCCAACCAGCCCCTTCGCATTTCTTTTACTTTTACTTCTCTCTCCCTTCTCCCCACCACCACCACCCGTCCACTCCCCGCCTCTCCCTCCCTCTTTCCTCTTTCCCCTCCCCCACCCCGCCTCTCGCTCCACCAACACCCCCCCCCCGCGGGAGGCGGAGCTTGGGCGCATTGCGTCGGAGGCGTCAGAATCCTCAATTCCCAACTTCGCGTCTTGGCAGGACCTTTGGCGGAGCGCGCACAGGGAAGGGGGGGCGACGGGCGGTCAAGAAGGCAGGCGAGGGGACGAAGAAGCCCGCAGCCCCAAAGCGCCCTTTCCTTGTCCAGCGGAAGGAGGGAGGGAGGGAAGGAGGGAGGGGGAGCGGGAAGCGAGAAGAGGACGCCTGCGAAAAGGAGGAGGAAGAGGAGAAGGAGGAGGAAGAGGAGGAGGAGGGGGGGCGAAAGGTGCCGCGCGCCGGAGACTCCAGCCAGAGCCGCTGCGGAGGGGAGGCGGCGAAGAGGGGCTCTCCGCCCGTCCGCCCGCCGTTGGCAGAGCCGCCCGCCGCGGCAAAGGCTTCGACGACGCGCTCCGGAGAGAGCCGGGATCCCGAGCGCCGAAGCGCGGAGCGGCGCTGCGCTTTGGCGGCGGCGGAGGAGGAGGCGGCGGCGGCGGCTTGCAGCAGCTGCTTGCGCGGCTGGCTGGGGCTGGCTGGCTGGCTGGCGGAGTTCTGCCAGCAGCTTCCGGCCATGTCGTATCCTCAGGGTTACTTGTACCAACCGTCCGCCTCCTTGGCCCTCTACTCCTGCCCTGCCTACAGCACCAGCGTGATCTCCGGTCCGCGGACCGATGAACTGGGAAGGTCGTCGTCCGGCTCGGCTTTTTCCCCCTACGCCGGCTCCACCGCCTTCAGTGCTCCTTCGCCCGGCTACAACTCGCACCTCCAGTACGGCACAGATCCGGCGGCCGCGGCTGCCTTCTCTTCCTACGTGGTAAGCACCGCTCCCCCGACCTTCCTTCCTTCCTTCCTTCCTTCCAACTTAATTCTTCCTTCCAACTTAATTCTTCCTTCCTTTCCTTCCTTCCTTCTCTCCCTCCCTCCCTTTCCCATAACTTAATTCTTCCTTCTTTCTTTCTTTCTTTCCTTCCTTCCTTTCTTTCCTTCTTCGGCACTGGTTGGAAAGAGGCAGAGCTGGGCAGGGGGCTTGGGCGAGGAGAGAGACCCCGAGGTCAGGAGCAAAGGGGAGGCGGGGAAGACGCCGAGAGCTGGAGCTTTGGTTGGGAGCTTGCAAAAGCGGCTCTGGCTTCAGGGGAATCCGCCGGGAAAGGGAGAAAGGAGGCCGAGAGCAGAAGGAAAGCAAGCCGGCCGCCTGGAGGCTCCGGGCCCCTTCCCTACGAAGTCTCGGCCCCACCGGCTTCTCTTACCCGGAGACAGGTTGCGTCCGATCCTGCTTCGGCTTAAATTGGGGGCAATTCTGCCCTTAAGGGAGATCCTAAGGGGGGAATTGCTGCCTGCTTCCCCTCCAGCGAAAGCCCAAGCCGTTCTCGGCTGCAGCAGCCTGTTTATTCGGGAGAACTCGTAGGCGAAACGGGTTCGAGTGTCCAGCTCTTTAGAACTGGGGTCTAAATAGCGGAGGGAAGGCGAAGAGCGGTTTTTTGGCAATTCAGAGACGGAAAAGAAAAAGAGTGAAAGAGGGAGAGATAGAGAAAGAAAGAAAAAGAGAGGGAGAGGAAAGAAAGAAAGAAAGAAAGAAAGAAAGAAAGAAAGAAAGAAAGAAAGAAAGAAAGAAAGAAAGAAAGAAAGAAAGAAAGAAAATTTAGGACGTGATCTGGTTAGCTCTTCAGAGATTCCCCACACCATCCCTTTATTTTTGTCCGTGCACGTCGGAGCAATGCGCTCCC